TAATGTTCTCTAGATTGATCAATTTTGGGAAATCTTGTAGCTTTGGCATTTCCAACTATTACTGGGGATAGAGTGTAGATTTGCAAAGACTTTTGTTTGCCAAGGTGCACCATTGCTCTAGAGTGTGTTATCATAGCACTAGTTCTAGATTGCATCACAAGACATAAGCACTAAGAATATAGCTTAGATTAATGCTTGCTAGGGTTAGAATTTTTTAGAGAGTTTAAAAATTTATGGAAGAAAGTGGTGTTATTACTTTGTCTTGTGCTTGTAGTTTTCCCTCATCTTTTGAGGTTTAAAACATTTTTCTATTTTCTTTACCCCCTATTCTCAAGTAGGAAACATATGCATAAAGATGCTATGAAGGTCATTAACAATTAAGTTTAAAATCCATCATGTTCATAGGTGGAAATGCATTTGACAAGGCTTGAGCAAATATGTCTGCACTCAACTTGTCTCAAAAACCATACACATAAGGTTTGAGAAAAGAAGATCTCCAAAGTTGTTTATTCATATATCTCAATTAGTTATTGGATCAGTGGCTTTTATTAAAACCCCTAATAATACTTAAATTTTAGATTATGCAACACCAAGAATATACTTTAAAAAAACAATTAAACCTTTACTCTAAAGGTATATAATAGATTTTTTAACCCTTTAAGTGATCCTACCCTAAATAAATGTGACCATTTTAGACTAATTTCTCTTTTGCAAACTAGGATTTCTATCAGTGACACCAATGTAGTTGGCATATTTACTTTAAAATTCACTCTGGGACCTTCATCACTCACACAACACCAAAGCTATAAGATAGATACTTCACTAAAATTTTTATAATTATCTCTCAAAAAGTTCATAGGATGGCTATTCAAGATGAGAGGTACTTTAGAAGAAGTTACCAAATTTATAACACTATTGTTGACTCTATAATATGAGTTTAAATGAGATTCACAACATAGTTGCAACACTAGCTAACAAGAGCATTGTCCAGGATTGGGAGCACTAATGATTTAAAGTAGAAATTATAAGCCAAAATTCCTAGAATAAAAAATAGAAAATTTTTTAAAATAAATAAAATTGGCAAAAATACATATTAAGAATAACTAGAATTGTTAATAAAAATGACAATGAAGACAAAAAATCACTAAAACTTCACCATGTACCATAATTCTATCTAATGAAATTCAAATCATTCTTCCTAAAATTTTATATAAAATTTCTAACAGTGTAACTTTATTTTAGAATAATGCTTATATATAGTTTTTTCTCAAAATCCCACATATAATTGCATACATAATCTTAAATACCCATTGTAGGATTTTTAGTGTAACCCCCACTTTACTACACCTCAATTAATTGCCACAAGGTGAGGATTATATTGAAAAATGCATTAGGAGGGGTAGTAGGCAGATTAGTGAAGCCCAAGGTTAGATTTTACATGAATAATAGCCTAGATTTCACGTGTGCTCATCAAAAATAGAAATGGTTAACTTCAGTGATCAATCCCCACCTCCGTTACTTCTGGGCAAGCCCAGATGGGAGGAAAGAGATGAATTTTTAAGATGTAGTGCTCAAGAACAAACTGGTCATTGATGGAGATACTACCCAAGGGTCCCAGATTGATCCTCCCTCGCATCCCAGCTGTGGGATCTTCCAGATCGACGTTTGGATGTAATTCCACTACATCCACACCTGGGAGGAAGGGATGGACAAGATCGTCGTGTCCATTACGCCAAGGTTCACGAACCTCATCTTTAGCAGCGTCTTCGTCCAGGTGGGCACCTTATTCCTCAACCAGGGCGACATCATGGAGCGGCATCTGGGGCGATTCCAGATCCCAGCCGCCTCCTTCACGCTCTTCATCACCCTCACCATTTGCATCATCATGCCGCTCTACGACCGCTGCTTCGTGCCATTCGCGCGCCGGATCACGGGGAACGAGCGAGAGATCACGATGCTCCAGCGCATCGGGATCGGCCAGGTCATCTCCACGGTCTCCATCGCTCGCCGCGCTGGTGGAGATGAAGCGCTTGGGAGTGGCTAGGCAACACGGTCTGTTGGATGGCCCCCAGTCGACGGTCCCGATGAGCGCATTCTGGCTCTTGCTGCAGTGAGTTTGCGAGGTTTTCATCTCCGTCGGCCAGAACGAGTTCTTCTACGATCAAGCCCCGGATTCCATGCGAAGCATTGGAGTGGCGCTCTATCTCGGCACCATCTCCATCGGGAGCTTCATCAGCAGCTTGTGGTGGTCAAGTTTACAAGTACAAAAGGTGGCCGGGTTGACGGCAGCTGGACCAAACAATCTCAACAGGGCTCACATTGATTACTTCTACTGGCTGCTGACTATTCTATCAACCTTGGGATATATGTCTTGTGTGCGAGGTGGTATACTTACAAGCATGTGGGAGATATTGCAATTTGATCATCAAGCGATCCTAGTAACATGTTCTGCAGCAGTTTGTGAGACGAGAGCATACCAGGAGAGACCAAGAGAAGGGTTAAGCGGCTGGGGACAAGCTATCGCAATAGCGATGATGTGATATCACTACCACCACCATAATAAGATACTTATTGTTATATCTTTTAAATATGACCATAAGTTTAGCTCAAAGTTTGAACTGTAGAAAATGAGAACAGTCGAACTATGATTTTGAAGTGGTGAGGCTCACCTCAAGTTCTGAAGTGCTAGGGATTCCAAGCTTAGCCCTTTGTAGTGTTGTAGGAAAGAAATGTTTGACTTGCTTTTGATCAACTGTGAAAACACAGACCCTAGCATGAGAGAACTGTTGAAGGAGGTATCCAGTGAGTTGGAGTGGCCAAGAAAGATTTCTGGTAACTTGTGCTGGCTAGCTCCACAAAGCTTAGAAAGCTGTACGGAATCCTTTTGTCAACAGGTGGGAGAATCTTTGCATGATTTTGCAAATGGTGGTGGCAACAACCAAGAAGATTAGAGGCGGATTCTAACACAGCCAAGAAGCTAGGAGAGAGAGAATTGTTGGCAGGCAACACACAACGTCTTCTTGGTGTTACAAGCTGGTGGCTTCAGAAGAGTGCCCTAGAGCTGCTGGGGACAAGCCGGACGAGCTTGAGAGCAGGCAAGAAAAAAAAAGATCCCCAAATAAAGAGAGGAAGCGTTTCTTTTTTACCTTGACGTTCAAGTTGTTTCACTGCTCTTTTTTCCACTCATTAATTCATTAATTTATTCAAACGGTTTACATGGTCTCACTGAAGCATTAGACCAAAACTCTCTCTAGAAAAGAGCAAACTTTAGGATGCTTGCCTGAATTTCTTTCGATAAGATGATCTATTTTTGGTTTGCAAGATGGATACCTAGAATATCCTTTAATTTAACTGGGCGGGGAGTGGTCCAGCTCACGACAGTTAGGGCATGTCCTGTGTATCCTAATATATTTATCATCATTTAGATTAATCTTAAATTATAACATTTTTTCTCTCTAAATTTAGTGCCTTTGTTTATTAGAACGGATAGACAGCCTGGAATCTTGGTAAGCATTGCTGGTAGGATTTTTTTCTTTTGTTTTTGTGAATTTTTGCGAATTGCTGCTTGGATTTACACCATTGCCTAGAACCTAATTATCTCACTGCCACGTCAGCTGGAGCACCCCGGCTCTTCAACACATGGTCTTGGAGCTTTCCGCATCCTATACTCGGTCCATATATCCAAAGAGCTGTTCTAATTGTCACTGAGCAAATAACAACATAACGCAAAGAGATTAACAGGCTTGAAAACTTAGTGTTTAACAGGGGTTGAAGCTTGTCCATACTCTCAACCAACAATTGACACAGACTTCAACAAATATTTTGTATCTGGATGAAACCTGTCGTGGAAGACATTTCATGGTTTATACCTAATGCTCTATCTGCGAACGTGAAACTGCTATGGACGGATCTTCAGAAAGTTTTATCCTTTAGCAGGGACAAAAATCGTCACGAACATCAGAATTTAAGAGAATAAAGACAGGAAAATGATGAACAACAGCAAAAGTTCCACGCTGCCAATTCTTCGCTAGTCAAATCGCAGCAGAACTATCTTAATTCTGCTCAGAAAGAGAAAAAAATGCTACAATGCACATCAAGCAAACTAAAATTCGCATCCAAATATTCTCTTAGCAAAACGTGATCCGGCCTTTTTTCAACATTCACAGCGCTCCCTCTAACCTTTGGTTGTTTACATGCTGTCAGCATGGCAGTTCACATCGTCATTTCACACATTCGATGCTTTAACTTTTCCAGCTGTAATAAAAGCAAACCAGGGCAAGAAACAAGACCATATCCCTACATAATCGTGCTCCAGGAGATTAAGCTCCTTTCTGGCATTAGCTCGTTGTTTTATCCAAATGCCTGTTACTGGCATAATCAGGAACGTCTTCTGCTTGTTGGAGGAATCCATACCGAGAGAAGGGCAGTGATCATGCTCGTCCCACTCGGGCATTCAATTAACCAACTGCTTGGCGACATTCCACGAAAATCAATTCCTCAATCTAGAGCCCCAAAGGACTTGCCATTATGGGCATCCACACCTCATATACATTGCACCACCAAATTGGACGCCAAACAATCTCCCGCAGCCGAGGAGGTGGCTGGATGTGGGTAAATTGGATATGGTTCTTTATAACATCCAGCGAAACCTCGCTTGCGAACGCATGACCACCTAAAATTACATTATTCTAAAGCAGAGATGATATTTCGTGTGGGGGGCGTTAGGAGACATGAATCTAGATTGAAGCTTTGTTTTTGGTCCACTCGTGCCCGTCTAGGAAGCATGGGACCTTACCTTTTCATCCCCTCCAAGAAGCATGCCGACACACAATTATTGGTCTCACGCATTGTTTCCATTCAAGTAGAATCCTCAGAGTAAGCCCTAAAATATTGATCTTATCTATGCGTGTGGCTCAAGACCATCCAATCCATAGCTCTAAAATTCGATTGGAGGGATCAATATATTTAGGTATGCCAATTGCACAGTTAATTTGGTCGCAATGCATGCCACACTGTCTGGGCCTGATCAATATCTTCGGCGGGATGGGATCGAAGTAGGCCATCCCAGCGTTGGAGGTTTCGCCGAATTCTGGCTATGTCCGAGGATGATATGCCATATGCCGTGAGTATCACCCAGCAGGGGATTTGATCACCATGGGCCGCTACAGCTTCAACAACCGATTGTTCTTGCCAATGTGCGCTCATCCAAAGATCGATCTAATCTCTGGCAAGCTCTTCGCGGTTAGCTTCAATCCAGTGATCAATCCCCACCTCCGCTACTTCTGGGCGAGCCCGGACAGGAGGAAGAGCCCCGATTTCGACGTCCCGTGCTTACTTCGCGATAACAGAGAACTACGCAGAGAATCAGCTCGTGATGAAGTTCCAGGATGCATTGCTCAAGAACAAACTGGTCATTGATGGAGATACCGCCAAGGTTTCCAGATTCGGGGTCATCCCTCGCATCCCGACCGTGGGATCTCCCGGCATTCGCTGGATCGACGTCCTGGATTGGACATCATTCCACTACATCAACGCCTGGGAGGAAGGGACGGACAAGATTGTCGTGCTCAGCTCGTGGAACATCTGTTTGACGATTTTGCCGGATTGTCCAACAGATTGCACGAGATCCACCTGGACCTTCGATCTGGACGGTCGTGGAAGCAACATGTGTGCTCAGCCAGACTGGATTTTGGACAGATCAACCAGAAATTCTTGGGGCGGAAGAATCGGTACGTCCATATGTGCTACTATGGGCCATGGCCCAAATTCTCGGGCCTGGCCAAGGTCGATCTGGACGCTCCACGGGTGCCCAGTGTGGTAATCGACGGAACAAGTGACCCGGACCTCAACGAGCCGTGCATTGCGGCGTCGAGGAGATTCGAACGAGGTCAGTTTTGTGGCCAGCCTTTCTTTGTGGTGAATGGCGAGGAGGAAGACGATGGATACGTCTTAAGCTACATCCACAATGAGGAAAGTGGTGTCTCAGAGCTTTTGGTCATGGATGCCAAATCGCCCATGCTTGAGACAGTGGTTTCTATAGAGTTGCCTACTAGAGTTCCATATGGATTCCATGGGATCTTTATAAATTCCGATCAAATAGCCAACCAGAACCATGCCACCTTGTAAGAAAAATTGTAAATTGATATAATCTCTTGTAAATATCTAATTTATGTAACTATGTGAGAATTCGCAATAAGAACATATGGAGCACTGTTACTTGGCTCCACACTATGGTATCACCCTGTGATCTGGCATTTTTAAAAAATTCACAGCGTTTTCTCTAACCTTTGGTTGTTTACATGCTGCCAGCATGGTAGTCCACACACACCTTTGATTCTTTAACTTTTCCAGATGCCCTTTCCTGGCATTAGAGCAAACCAGGGCAGCATTACATTGCAAGAAAAAGCGTCTGCATTAAGAAATTTTCTCAGCAATTCTACAGTTGTTGCTCCATGGACTCACTTTCCGCCACGCCAAGCATACAAGCACTTCTGAGGGAGCCCAAGAAAATTCTCTTTGCCTTTTGCAAATGCAGACTTTGGCATAGATACAAGACCCCCCTACTTGGCACATTTGATAGAATCGTGCTCCAAGAGATTAAGCTCCTTTCTGGCATTACTTTATCCAAATGCCTGTTACTGGCATAATCAGGAACGTCGTCTGCTTGTTGGAGGAATCCATACCAAGAGAAGGCAGTGATCATGATCGTCCCACTCGGGCATTCAATCAACCAGCTGCTTGGCCTGGTCAAGAGATGTGAAGGTGAAGAGCATGGCATTCAACGAGAATCAATTCCTCAATCTCATGCCATCTATGCACCTTATATACACTGCACCACCAAATTGGACGTCAGATAATTTCATGCCGCAAGGAGGTGCTTGATATATTTGTGGCTGGAGCATCCCGTTAAACACCATCTTGTTTTAGTCTCTGATGTGAATTATAGCAAAACTTTTTCACTAGTTGTCAAAATAGCTAGTGTATCTGGTCAAAGACCTATCAACGGTCAAGTGCGTCAAACGGTCAATCAATTATTCTGGAATCTTGACTGTGAGTCTTTCTCGTTTTTTGACCGGCACACTCCCATTCGATTACATTCTTTCTTGTTCTTGGTGGAGACGTCCAACACTTCAGAAGGTCACGTCCATTGGAGGATGTAGATGTAAGATCCTCTCTAAAACGCAAAATGGGTTTTTCTCCCAGGTCTTGATCACTTCGCAGCCACTTTTGGTCTCGAGATAGTGGATCAAAATTGAGGTTGCAGTGGGCTTCTCCTTAAGACTAACTGTAAACTTAGCTAAATTTTCCTATCAGATGGGAGTGTCCACGTCATTGCCAGCTAGGTGGACGAAGAAATTTGATACAGTTCTCTATTCCATCCAGCAAAACCAAACAAAAATGATATTTCGCGCAGGGAGTACTTTCTTATGTGGGACACTCAAGTGCTCAGGATTTACATTGCACCATGTAAAGGTAAGGTCCCATGCTTCCTAGACGGGTACAAGAGGAAAGCTAGACATCTCCAAATGTTTACATTGCATCATGTAAAAGTAAGGTCCCATGCTTCCTAGACGGGTACAAGAGGAAAGCTAGACATCTCCAAATGTTTACATTGCATCATGTAAAAGTAAGGTCCCATGCTTCCTAGACGGGTACGAGAGGAAAGCTAGACATCTCCAAATGCCGACATTGTTCTCACGTGCATTGCTTCCAATTGGTCGACATCCCAAGTAGCTAGAATCCTCAGAGTAAGCCTTAAAAACTTTCTCTATCGCGCCATCATCTTATCTATGCGAATGGTGTGGCTCAGAGAGTCCAATTCAATTCGATTGGAGGGATCAATGTATTTATGTATGCCAATGGCACTATTTTTAATCGTTGATTCTGTCTCAATGCATGCCACAGCTGGGATTGATATTGGTTGTAGCCTTACCAACTTCTCCTTCCCAGCTCCACCCAAGAGAAGATCATCAGGGATCACAGCCACCGCCACCAAATCCTCTCGCAAGTATATCAATACCCCTGGCTTCTCAATCCCCAATCCAATCGAAGAGGCGCGGGCGGCGGCGGTAGCCCTGTGCGACACGGTGGAGAATTTCATCTCCACGTACATTGATCTTCGCGAGTTTCCTCCCTCGCAAGACCCCAAGATCCAGCTCGCGGATAATTTCGCGCCGGTTGGAGAGTTCCCGCCAACGCCGTGCCGCCGAGTCACTGGCGAGATCCCTCGCTGCCTCCGCGGCGGTGCTTACATCCGCAATGGCTCCAATCCACTCCATCCCCCTCCCGCCGGCTACAACTACTTCGACGGCCACGGGATGCTCCACTCTGTCAAGTTCGGCGATGAAGAAGATCAAGCTCCAGTCTACTGCGCGCGATTCACCCAGAACAATCGATTCGTCCAGGAGCAAGCAGCGGGCAAGCCTCTCTTCCCCTACACGCTGGGCACCATGAGCAGCTATGCCGGGCTCGCACGATTCGGGCTATTCGTGACGCGCACGGCTCTGGGCCTGATCAATATCTTGGGCGGGATGGGAACCTCCAACGCTGGGATGGCCTACTTCGATCGCCGAATCCTGGCCATGTCCGAGGATGATATGCCATATGCCGTGAGTATCACCCCAGCAGGGGATTTGATCACCATGGGCCGCTACAGCTTCAACAACCGATTGTTCTTGCCGATGTGCGCTCATCCAAAGATCGATCCAATCTCTGGCGAGCTCTTCGCGATTAGCTTCAATCCAGTGATCAATCCCCACCTCCGCTACTTCTGGGCGAGCCCGAACGGGAGGAAGAGCCCCGATTTCGACGTGTGGCTGCCGGACCCGTGCTTGTTTCACGACTTCGCGATAACAGAGAACTACGCAATCCTGCCAGAGAATCAGCTCGTGATGAAGTTCCAGGATGTATTGCTCAAGAACAAACTGGTCATTGATGGAGATACCACCAAAGTTCCTAGATTCGGGGTGATCCCTCGCATCCCAACTGTGGGATCTTCCGGCATTTGCTGGATCGACGTCCCGGATTGGACGTCATTCCACTACATCAACGCCTGGGAGGAAGGGATGGACAAGATCGTCGTGCTGAGCTCGTCCATTACGCCGGTAAAACATTTCTTTGACGATTTCGCCAGATTGTCCAACAGATTGCACGAGATCCACCTGGACCTTCGATCTGGACGGTCATGGAAGCAACACGTGTGCTCAGCCGGACTGGATTTTGGACAGATCAACCAGAAGTTCCTGGGGCGGAAGAATCAGTACGTCTACATGTGCTACTATGGGCCATGGCCCAAAATCTCTGGCCTGGCCAAGGTCGATCTGGACGCTCCACGGCTGCCCAGGGTGGTCATCGACGGAACGAGTGACCCGGACCTTAATGAGCCGTGCATTGTAGCGTCAAGGAGATTCGAACGAGGTCAGTTTTGTGGCGAGCCTTTCTTTGTGGCAAATGGCGAGGAGGAAGACGATGGATACGTTTTAAGCTATGTCCATGATGAGGCAAGTGGTGTCTCGGAGCTTTTGGTCATGGATGCCAAATCACCCACACTTGAGACAGTGGCTTCTATAGAGTTGCCTGCTAGAGTTCCATATGGATTCCATGGGATCTTTATAAATTCTGATCAAATAGCCAACCAGAACTATGCCACTTTATAAGAAAGTTTGATATAGTTGTAAAATCTCTTGTAAATATCTAACTTATGTAACTATGTGACCATAAATTCAGATGTAATGCACTCTATTTTTTTCCTTTAAAACCAATTGGAAAAAGGGGCAATTGCTTATAGTAACAATATATCTAAATTTTATTTCAAGATCATATGTGCTACACTCACCCCTCCTTTCAAAGTGTCAATGTTTTTATTGATTATTACTAAACTATATTAAATCTACCAATCTTTCCATTATATAGACCAATTATTTTATGTAAAGTAACTAGTTATCCACCTATATTTCAATCCCACAGTGGATACCTTCGTTTATGAATGCTTTACAAAACAAAAGACATATTTATGAATGGCTAATACATATGATTTTAATTTTAGGGGTATAAATATACCTTATTTAAAGGTATATATTTTCTCTAATACCACATTTATCTCAACATATCTCTCTCCTCTTAAGCCAATTAAAAAAGAGGTAGTTATTTGCCCTTAGTTATCCTCATTTATCCACTAAAGTTTTTAAGGATCCACAACAATAATATATTTAAATTTCATCCCATGATCACATATGCTATATCATAAAATTTATAATGAATTTTAAAGGTTATTTTTTCCACATTTTGATCTATAATCCGTCTTTGATGATACTTGGACTGTAAATCAGGTCGTATAAAGTACTTAGCCTTTAAGAGTTAGTCAAATAAGTAAAAAATGCATATATAACTTTTGGCAATAACCTTTATGAGTTGCTTTTTAAGTTCAACCATTTCCTTGTGTAAATGATATAGAGCCTTATGTGATTTAGAATCTAAAATAATCTCAATATAATGATCAATCTTATAGTTAAGAGAAAACCTTGGTGGTAAATTTGTTAGAAAGTATCTTGATTCCTTAACAACAACTTTATAATATAGGCCTATTTAAACTTGATCACTTGAACCTAAATGTAGCACATGTGGTTTTCACCCTTTATTCTATGGTGATTTACCATAGGATAACCATGAAGTGGAACTTAAACCCTCCATGTGCCATATGCCACATGTCCAAGGACAACGAAGTGAAACCTAAGTTATAGGGCCTTGGACCATTGAACGAAGGAATGGTGCCAAATTCCTAAGTATGAAGCCAAGAAGCGATGGCACTAGAGAACAGAACGACTCTTGAACGTACAGCTTAAGGAGCGAAGAGACAGGAGCACAGAGCAACTTGGAACAATCCTAAAATATCCAGCATCTTAATGCTAAGACTAACACACAAAACAGAGCTAAACAGAGTTTAACGCTATTTTAGCATACCAGTGGCTTAACACAAGGATATGGGTACTCCAACAACTAGCATAGTGTGGAACTTAAGCTTAAACCCAAGCCGGACGCAAAACAAGGGCAGTCACACAAGCGAGAGTTAGACTATGCCTCAAGTTGGTCAGTTATGCCTGACCTACCCACTATCCCTATTATACATTTGGAACCCCCTACAACTCCCTCCTCCGTTTGCTAACATCTTTGCTCACGTTATATGCTCACAAAGGCATTGTTGCCATAGCTCAGGATCTCTTTGTGTCTTTCCAATTTGATCACTCCATCAAACCCTCAAAGCAACACTACTCATGTATGATTGGTGTGCTTGTCTGGTCAGGGTATATCCAAGATGCTGAGAATCTTCTGTGGGAGATGCCATCCTACCCAGATTCCATGGATTGGAAGTGCTTGCTTGGGCTGTAGCGAGTGGAGATGCAATGAAAAATGCCGCTAGTTTGGAGCCTAGTAACAGTGCTCCATATGTTCTTATTGCCAATTCTCACATAGTTATATAGCTTGGATATTTTCAAGAGATTATATCAATTTTCACAACTATGTCAAATTTTCTTAGAAGGTGCCATTTTTTATGAGCACACGTGAAATCTAGGCTATAATTCATGTAAAATCTAACCTTGGGCTTCACTAATCTACCTACTACCCCTCCTAATGCATCTTTCAATGTAATCCTCACCTAGTTGTTAGTGAGTGGTTGAACCATTTGATGTAGCAGTTAACTAAGGTGTATGCTTAGCAAGAGTAAAGTGGGGGGTTATGCACTAAAAATCCCACAATGGGTAT